AACATACACGCGCGTCCTCCCCAACGCAGCGCGACGCACGTGCATCATCTGGCCCTAGTTCACTCACTCACTCACAGTGCGCTAGCGACCGACCACCACCGCCGCCGCCTCCACCTCCGCCGTCGCCCCTACTACTGCCGCTGCCGCTTCTGCTGCCGCTACCACCACCACCTCCGCCATCATCATCAGCACTGCTACAACAGCGCAAGAACGAGCTGTCAGTCCCCCCGTCCCACTCGCGCGGGACGATAAAGAGAAAAGGAGTGAGAGAGACACGGAGAGAGAGAGAGAGAGAGGAGAGAGGAGAGAAATTGCTCCCGCAATATATACACCGCTCTTTGAAAAAGAAGCGGTCGCAGTAGCACTGGCTGGTTCCTTCTTTCGGCGTCGGTCCGAACACAACAACAACAACTACTACTACTACTACTACTACTACTACTACATCAACAGCACTTCTTTAGTAACGTGGGTGATACTACTTCAGATGATGATGATGATAATGTTCTTGTCTAACCAACTTCTTCGTGCTTTCTGAGGAAACAACAACTACAGTTTTTGAGGAATTAATTTTTTAGTTTCGGATTCTTGTACAAATTGGATGTTCTCGGAGACAGAGCGGACGTTTCAATGAAGACGACGATTTTATTCTTTCACTTACTGTGTTTTTATTAGTTCCGTTGGAGTTGCGGGTTATTTTCTGGCTTTTTTCTGAGGAGGTCTTATGCTTTTTGGTAAGAATGAAAATTACATTATTCTGTTGTTCCAGCTGTGTCTCTATGTTTTATTGTATTTAGTACGTCATGTCTTAAAACCAATTAATCATAATATTTTTTCTAGGACTAACTCAAGACTTCGATACTGACATGTGAAGAATCATGTGCAATTAGCACAGGGAGATTTGGTTTAATAAGGACGTATGTAAAGAAATAATGAGGCTAAAACAGGGCCATAAAATGTTAACGGTATTCTTTTTAAGTGAAGAAACATAGTTTTTACTGTGTTTGTTCGTTGCTCTTTAATGAGTTAAAAGCTTTTTTTTTCTCTTATCTTTTTTCTGGATGAGGTTGACAAATTCCTGGCCAGTCTTGAGTATGTGGGCTACAGTCAATACAGGAACCTCTTGAGACTAGACCCTTTCAGCTGTGTGCTTTGTTTGGATTTGGGGTAAATCGAGGGGTAGGGGTAAAGATTGTACCTAACGATATTACTTCTTTTGAAGGGTTAAAAAATTATTTTAGTAAATCAATTATTTTAATGTGTCCTTTTTGTGTGTATGTGCCAATGTGGGTTTTTATGTTTGTGTGTGTGTGTTTTGTGTGTGTGTGTGTGTGTGAGTCTGTGTGTGTGTGTGTGTGTGTGTGTGTGTGTGTGTGTGTGTGTGTGTGTGTGTGTG